CTTAGGAGGTGAAATTTCTGACCACTCAAAGTAAGGCTGCTGCTGCCGCTCAGGAGGCAGGATGGCCTCTGGGGGTGAGGGACTGCAGCTTGTGACCTTGGGACAATAGCTTGACCCTCTGCGGGCCCAGCTCCTCTAAGAATGGAGGTAACCGCAGCACTCAGTGCTTCACAACCATCACAAAAGCTACTCTAGTAAACCTGTACTAGGTATACACAACAGAGCATGACAAGAAGAGCCTGTCACACACATGGCAATTGTACTAAAATTAGCAGCTGGACAATAAGCTCTTGGTTAGAACATGGTGCTAGGAATAGTATCTTGGGTGCCTATTACCTTATCCATCCTCTTTGGTTGTTTATTTTGTTGTGTTTTGTTTCGTAACATGGCCTCCCACATGTGGTGCCCTCTAAAGGAGAAGAAATCACAAACCTGATGACTCGTTACTATGTCCCATGCTTCTGTTCTTACCCTGTTCCATTCCTTCTCCTCCCCTGTCACTCAGCAGCTACTCTTCCCTCCCAAAGACTTGGCCTCAAGACAAGAGGTTCTGGGGCTCAAGAGAAGGTTTGGGCTTGGGTGAGCATGAAAAAAAAGATCCAGAGCCAGACATTGGGGTTCGAGCTTCAAGCTGAAGATCAGAAAAGCAAAGCAGCCAAGCCAGTAGATCTTACTTCTACCCAGCTGAAATGGCTGTGCTGTCTCCACGAAGCCTCAGAGGCAAAAGGCTCTGAATTCCTGTCTCCTCCTCCTTATATCCCTTTCTCTGCCCAGCCATATCACTCCTGTCTCTATCTCCCTAGTGCTGGGATTAAAGGTGTGTGATCCCAGTGCTGAGATCAGCTTTGTGTGAGCTGTTTCTTTTAGGACTGGGTCAATTTCATGTAGTCAGTGTGGCCTTGAACTAACAGAGATCTGTCTACCTCTTACTCCTGAGTCCTGGGGTTAAAGATGTGTGCCTGACTACTATGGCTAACTAGTATGACTGCTTTCCTATTTTGATCTCCAGTGGCTTTAATAAATCATAAACAATATATCAACACACTTGTGTCCCTGCTGTGGTACCAGCTTCAGATTACTTCAGGACTCGGTATCATTTGGTTTGTGGGGATAAGGTACTCCTTCTGCACAAAGGTGCAGAGCCTGAGAAGCCATGTTTGGACTTTAGAGGCATGTGGTAGCCAGTCATTGAAACAGCTCTGAGCAGTAGGGAGAGGTGGCTTCCTCGTCTCCCTGGCTGAGTGCCCTCAAACAGGTTGCTTGGTGTCCTTCAGGTTCAGTTTCCTAATGAGACGTTCACTGGGATAGTAGACAGGATGGCTTTGCTGAGTGAGCTGGTATGTATGAAATGTAGTTAGTAAGTGTCACCTTTACGGTTGACAGGAGAACTCTGTGCAGAGGTGAAAGCTGGGGTCCAGATGGTATGTGAGGCGGGGCTATTGTCTTCCACACTGCGCTCCCCTGACCTAACCTTAGTCAGGCTCTGAATGTCTCCTTGGCCTCTCATCCACAGGGCTCTATGTGTTGGTTGGAGCTGGGGCCCTGATGATGGCTGTGGGATTCTTCGGGTGCTGTGGAGCCATGCGTGAGTCACAGTGTGTGCTCGGATCAGTAAGTGGGGTTTATGAGGGTTAGGGTGGGTTGGTGAACTTCCCTGGAGGGAATTGGGAGACCCGGTTTGAAGTGCTAGCCCCTCTAGGACTAGAAGCTTTGGCACTGAACCCTGTCTGTGATGTCAATTTCCTCCATCTCCTGCATGAGAATAGTATTATCTTTGTTCCTGCTCATATGGAAAATGTGAAAACAATGAGATCATCAGTATAAAGATGTTTGGGGAATAGTGCTTACAAATTGATTGTTGTTTAAAAAATAATATTTTACTGTGATGTGGCAGCATAAAGATTCCCATAGCCAGGAAAAAAAAACTTGTTTATAAGGAAAGCATTTCTGGTTAAGATCAATAACTAAGTGAAACATCCCTCTGGTGCCTATGTTTTTTTTCTAGACAGGGTTTCTCTGTGTAGCTTTGGAGGCTGTCCTGGAACATGCTATGTAGACCAAGCTGGCCTTGAACTCCCAGAGATCCGCCTGCCTCTGCCTCCCATGTGCTGGGATTAAAGGCATGTGCTACCACTGCCTGGCATCTGGTACCTTATTTTCACCAGCAGCTTCTGTTAAAAAAAAATAGTTTCTGTAACCTGTTACCTGCTAGCAGCAGATACTCTGAAGCCAAAGGAGGTGGGGAGCAGAGGGAAGGCGTTGTGTTTCTCACGGGAGCCCGAAGCACAGTGCGCTGAAATCCTCATTTCCCATTTCCATTGCAGCCTTTGAGCTTTCCATGTCTGCCTGACGACTGATGATTCAGATCTAGGGCTATGTGAAATGTCTGTTTCGTCACACTGCCATTCTCTCTTTCTCCAAATAAAGCTTCGTTTTGCTTATCACAGAGCTAAATTTGATCAGCAAACCTAAGAGCTGGTAGAACTCTATCCATAAAAATACTCCCCTGACACACATCAAACATACCCCCATACCCCGCACACACACACACACACACACACACACACACACACACACACACACACTGCATACATACCCTCACACACCTCACACACACACCCTGCACATACCCCACACATACATCCTGCATACACACCCCTGCATACACCCCATACACACCCTACACATACCCCCACACCTCAAACGTCCTGCATACACACCTCACACACACACCCTGCAATACCCCACACACATACGCTGCATATGCACACTCTGCATACACACATACACTGCACACACACATACACCCTGCACACACACACCCAGCATACACCCTACATACCCACCACACACTCACTGCATACACACCCCCACACACACCCTACATACACACCTCACACACACACTCTGTACATACCCCACACAAACACCTTGCACACACCCCACACATCTTGCACACTTCTCACACACACACCCTGCAATACCCCCCACTAATACACTGCATAGGCACACTCTGCACATCCCCCCACACACTGTACACACCACACACACGCACACCCTGCATATACACACCCCACACATCCTGCATACACCCCACACACACCCTGCACACACACACACCCTGCACACACACACATCCAGCACACACTCTACATACATTCTCCCACACACTGCATACACCCCACACACCCCCTACACACACACCCTGCATACACACCCTGCACATACCCCCCCACACCCTGCTCACACCCTGCACACACACCTCACACACACACTCTGCACACACACACTGCATACATACCTCCACACACACATTCCGAATGCCCACACACCCACACACACCCTGAACACATACCTCCCAACATACACCTCACAGATACCCCCCAGCACACACACACACACACACACACACACACACACACACACGCACACACACACACCCTGAACACACTTGTACTCCTCTCTCCCTCTCCTCAGAGAAGCCTTCCAGATCCCAATGCTCACATCACACTCTTTCTCACTGGCAGCGCTGTGTCCAACCATATTCCTCTCTGTAGAACTCACTTGGTCATCAAGTATTTATGGAATATGTCACTACCGGGCACTGAGCTAGGTGATGATAGGTTTCTATGTTGCCATCTCATACTCTTATACATTTTTCAAACCTTTATTCATCTGCTGTATCTTTTCCGCTCAATATAAGCTTTATGATAGTGGAGAGGTTGGGATCTTGTCTGCCATTGGATAACCAGCACACAGGACAGTGCCTGGCACAGAACACTCACTCAGTGAACAACTGTTCAGTGAAATAACAGACAAGTCACCGTGCCTTGACAGACAGATGAAGGAGACAAAGTGTGAAAGGGCTTCCCTTCTTACCCAATGCCTTGCCAGTGGGACTAGATGCAAACAGGTTAAATAAATTGAAAAGGTATTAAATTAATGAAATTAGTATTTTCTCTCAACAGTTTTTTACCTGTCTGCTGGTGATATTTGCTGCGGAAGTAACCACTGGAGTATTTGCTTTTATAGGCAAGGATGTAGTAAGTAAAACCTAGATGTTTTTGTGGTTGTTAAGGCATTCTTCTTATGGAAAACAACATAAATTACTCACTCTAAAATGTTATTAAGAAACAAAATAGCCCACAAAATGTGTAAGTAGAACCTTTTAACCTAGTAGTGTGCAGGACTCAAAATGTATATATGAGTGGTAATATATGGTTTCTAGTCAATGTTTAAAATGGTGTATGCTTGTTTGTTTGTTTGGTTGATTTTTGAGACAGAATTTCTCTGTATCATTGGAGTTCTGTCCTGGAACTTGCTTTATAGACCAGGCTGGCCTCAAACTCACAGAGATCTGCCTGTTTCTGCTTCCCAGATGCTGGAATTAAAGTGTGTGCCACCACCTCCTAGCTTGTTTGTTTTTTAACTGGATTTCTAGTTTAAGATTGTCCCTAGTTCAAAATGAGGTAGGCATTAGGTCACAGACACAAGAATGGGGCAAGGAGAAAGACCCTACCTTCTCATCTCTTTGTCACGTGTCCCAAAGGCTTGTCATAGACAGGGGCCACACCATTGTGAGAAGCAAGTACAATCCTTAGTGCCCAGAAAACGCTGTAAGGGGAGCCCATGGGCATGTGGCCTTTAGAAGGACTTTCAGCTGGCAAGAAAGCATGCTTCCACAGATTCCACCAGATCTCCTAGATGTGCCTAGTTGACAGGGAAGCCCATCAGGGTTAGAAGGCCCTGCTGTGAGAGGTGGCTCTGACCTAGGAAAGCATGGTTAGTCAGTGTGTCCTCCATCTTCAGAAGTGTGTGTGGGAAAGCAGTGTTCCCAAAGGAAGTGGAAGGGGGCTCTTCTTGGTAAAAGAAATTGTCTGCAACTTCCCATTCACTGTGTCCTGGTATTTTTCAGGCTATACGACATGTGCAGACCATGTATGAGGAGGCATACAACGATTACCTTAAGGACAGAGGAAGGGGAAATGGCACTCTCGTTACCTTCCACTCAGCCGTGAGTAACTTTACTTCTTCCTTGATGTCAGATTTTCTACAGACGGTGCAGGAGCCAGCCTTTCTCTAATCACCCAACTTGAAAACAAAAATAAATACAATAAGTGGAAGCAGGCGCCTCCTATTTTAACTCTGATGCTATGGCTTGTGTTTTGGGGAAACTGACTAGAATGAGACCTACCACAGATTCACAAGAAGTCAGGGTGTGTGCCCAAAAAGACCAAAAGCATGAGCAGGGCACTGAGAAAGCCACCCAAATGCATGTCATTTCCTCTCAGTGGTGACACTGGTATGACAGAAGCAAGCAAGGACCGTGGCCTTCAAGCCAGGGAAGCTCAGGGGCAGCCCTGTGGTGCGGAAGGGGTTAGTTAACCTCTCTGATAGCTGCTCAGCTCACTCCTATTTACAAAACAAAGGTTGTGGGGAGGCAACTATATTCCCTTCTAGAATGTTCCATGGGAATGTGCTAGAGTGCAGTGCTTAGAGCTACATATAGTCGAGAAAGGCTTAGGAAGGAAATGGGCCGCTCTGTCTTCTTAGGCACTGTCCTCTAGAGAAGTAACTGGGAACTTCTGAGCCAATGTGTTCAAATGCCTGGCTCTATAAGACAAGAGGTCTTAGAAGGCTCTTCAGAGGTATCAGGCAGCACACAGACCCTTTGTCCTAAAAGCCAGCGCTGAGGCAGCTTGCCAGCCAGCACTCAGGCCTGCGCTTCAGGCCCCGGGCTTTCCTGTCTCCTCTCTGTCACAGTCCCCGACTAATGACATCTTCCCAAAGCTCGCAAAGCTTTGCTCCTCCGCAGGTTTTTGGGACTTCATGTCTGAAGGATGGCATGTGAGGCCCCACTCCTGTCTCTAAAGTGGCCTTTATGGAGGACACCATCAATTAGCTCCTTGTCTGAAGGATGGCATGTGAGGCCCCACTCCTGTCTCTAAAGTGGCCTTTATGGAGGACACCATCAATTAGCTCCTTGCCTCACTCAGCCTCAAGCCACTTCCTATCATAACATCCCAAGTATACACACAGACTTTGGACTCCCATAGAACAATGTGAGGTGCACTCGCACCCTGAACTCTTGGGGAAGGGTCTAGGCCCTGCCCTATATGAAATGACAGACTATGGACACCCCCATGGAGGGCCTCACCCTCCCTGGGGGAATGAGGGGATAACGGGGGGAGGGGGTTGGGGGGAGGGCACGGGAGGAAGGGAGGGAATGGGAGAGGGACCTGGAACTGACTTGTGAAGCAACCTTGTTTCTTATCTAAATTTAAACTGGGGAAAAAAAAAAAAAACTTAACGCAGCTTTGGAGAAGCTGTTCCTGAGTTGCTAGCACAATTCCATGATTCTTCTTTCGCTCTCCAGAAATAGCAGGTTGGGCCTCACAGCGGTTTTGGGCCTCGGCATGGCCAGCCAGCAGTGATGCCCGGGACTCCTGTCATGCGGTCGTTCCCACCGCCCCGCCCCATGTCCTAAAGCCTCTTCTTCCTCTCTAGTTTCAGTGCTGCGGGAAAGAAAGCTCTGAACCAGTCCAGCCGACCTGTCCAAAGGAGCTTCCAGGCCACAAGGTAAGCTGGGTGTTTCGGGTTCCCCCAGCAACCCCCTATTGTGGGGAGGTTTTGGTGTCAGGGTAGAGGCAGAGGACTCAAGTCCTTCCTTCGAGGGGGCTGTCTCCTGAGCCTTACTCATGCCATGTGAACAAAAGAGCATCCCTGAGTCAGTTCCTCATACCCCAGGGGATGATGGGAAGCTTGCTTGCCAGTGACTACACCATGGGCTTAAGGCACATTAATTTATCTCACCAGGGCTGGCAGTCTGTGCCGCTGTCATACCCCACCCCCACCATGTCTTTCTGAGACAGTCACAGCACTGATAAATTTAACTGCTCTGTCATGTATTCTACAAGTCTAAGAGAAGAGACAGTCCCTCCCTCAGTAGCATCTCCAGCACTGATGACTACATAGATATCAGAGATGAGAGCTCACCACTGGGTTCTGGCTTCTCCACTGGTACAGAAGATGATGCCATTCGTTGAATTAATGAACAGAGGAGAAAGAGCCTATTATGGAGAAAAGGGACAGTATAGTGGGTTTGTTGGATTTTTTGAGAGATGTTTTATTTATGCATATAAGAGAAAGAAAGATGTGGATTTGCACAGCCCTCGGAAGCCAGAGGGGTCAGGTGTTAAGAGAAACTTTTTCTTTTGCTAGCCGCTTTGGTTTATCCCCCGCCAGTCGCCTGGGCTCTGCCGCGCCAGCCTGGTTCTAGATCCGCATGAGTCCCAAATAAACACACAGGAGGCTATATTAATTATGAAGCTGTTGGCCTTGTTTGTCTCTTACTGGCTAGCTCTGCCTTAAGTAATTACCCCATAATTGTTAATCTAAGTATGTTTCTTACCGGAGAATAGTTCCCAGCGTCCTACCCCCATGGCGTCACATGTTGACTCTCTTGTGTTTCCCCTTCCCAGAATCCTCCTCGACTCCTAGTCCCTCCTATCTAGGTTTTCTATTGGCCAGACAGTACTTTATTGACAAATGCACAGGCAAATAACAGGACTTCCCCAACAGTCAGGTTCCCCGGAACTGTAGTTACAGGCAGTTGTGCACCTCCTGGCATGATGCCCTCTGCTCTTCACCATGGGTCTTTCGTTCTTCAGCCCCATTTCGGTGTTTTAAACATTGTGGCTTGGAAAATCTGGTGTGTGGCTTAAAAGAGATGTTAAGTATCGATGACCTATAATCTTAGAGTTAGAGACATGTATTTGACTCATGAGATTTGGAAAAAAAGAAAAATGTGAATAATAGTCTAAGCAACACCACTATTAAGGCTGGGCAAGGGGGAGCAGCTAAACAGGACATTAGGAGGAGTCAGACGCCAAGGACCTGCCGCTGAGGAGATTGGCACAGTGCCTTCCAGGCACTGTGGATACAAAGATGCATGAGACCTACTGTCTAATAGGAGATACAAACACTAGAGTTGACACAGTGCACAGCGGGGTTATGGACAGAGCTTGCATGGTGCTCTGAGAGCCCCCGGAAGGCATATAGGAGACACCTGATGAAGGGTAACCAGGTAAAGACTCAGTGTAGACAAGAGTTCAACTACATCTTCTGCACAGAGGTAATTATGTAGTTTGAGCCAAATACAAGAAAAAAAGAACTCAAAAAGATGAAAGGCAAACAACTACTAAATGCATAGAAAGCATAGTCAATCAAAATCAATCTTAAATTAACAGAAACTAAATGACAAGACACCATTGTTTAACATGTGAAATTGGCCATGTTTTCTTTTCCGCCTATTAATAGCATAATATGGGCAAGAATGATGTGAAATGGTCTTAGAGATTAGTACAGTCATGTAGCCCAGAACGTTAAATGAGCTCTCATGCCCTTTGGTCTAGAAACTCTACTTCTCTGAATTTATCCTAAAAAATGGAATCTTTTTAATGTGTGCAGGAGCTGGGGAGACAGCTCAGCTGTTAAGCACAAGGACCCAAGTTTAACCTTTGTTGTCTCATAAAAATCTGCGTATGGCGGAACTGCCTGAAATTTCAGTACTGGGAAGGCAGAGGAAGATGGTTCCCAGGGCTCGCGAGCCAACCTACATTGACTGGTGAACTTTAGGGTCCCCAAGACAGCCAGTACCAAAAGACAAGACTGACAGCTCCTGTGGCACACACATACACACACACACAGGGAAAATGTGGGTGGAAAATTTTGTGCAGTGTTCATTACAAATAATATACATTAATAACCAAATACTGATCTCTTAACATGCTACAATAGGATATTGCTTAAATATCATTTCATAGGATATGTTTTAATGCCACTAGGAATCACAATTTCAAAAAAATAATATAAGACAGTATTTTTGGAGTTTCTTCATGTTTAGTATAAAAGCACGCAGATTAATATAAAATTGAGCTGAGTATGTGGGTCTTTTTATACCCAAGAATCATCAACAGTTTTAGTTATGATCTTAGAGGACAGATGTTTTTTATTTTCATTTTATTAATATCTATTTTCCAAATTTCAATGACTGTGTATTCCCTTGTGAATAAATAAAGCCAATACATGTTTTGTAATTTGTTTTTCACACAAGATACTGTCTCTGAGTGGAAAGAAGGGCTGTTGGCAGGGCTGGAGGAGGATGGCAGGGGACAGGCGCTTTGCTTGCTTTAGATTGGAAACGTTGTGTGTGGTGTCTCTTGGCCAATGGAGATGTTAACAGAGAGAAAGGGGCTGGATGTATAGGAAGGAAAGAGGGTGACTGGCAGGCTCTCAGAGAGGAGAGGGAGTGCGGCCCAGAACCCGTGAAGCAGCTAACTTTCCACAGAGAAGGGCGCCTCGCCATCTCCAAGCAAAGGACAAGGAGTTGCAAAGTTTCCTTGTGCCTTTTGTGTGCCCACTACCTTACACAGTGCCTGACACAGAGGGAGGCAGTGTCTCAGCCCAGGTGAAGACAGGAATGCCGGAAGAGCTGCACGTTGACTGGTTTCCTCTGGTGTGCCAGGAAGCTGCTGTCTCCAGCAGAATGCATCATCATTCTTCTAGGAGACTGCATCCTCCCTGCCAAGTTTCTGGAGAGAGGAAGCTATGGCTTACTGCTGCACACGCACCAGTCCACTACAGTGGCTGATAGGAGGTCTCCAGAAACGTTAAATAGAAAGGGAGACATGAAAGTGGTCACCGTTTTGTGTGACTTATGTGGATATCAGAGAGTGCTAAAGATCAGTGTACCCTGAGGACAAATCTGGGCTGAGAGCACCCCTCTATGTAGGAAGACTCCAAATGGAAGCTGTTGGCACTGGGAAAGTAATAATGGTCATAGATGGTCCACACTCTCCCCTACTCAACCTCCTCCTTGTCTATGAAGGTTCTTCAAACTTAGGCTTCACGATCTCTTAAGGATCAAGGATAGGAAACCACAGCTCAACTAACTCTCAAGACCTGGTTTTTCTTTTCTTTTTTTTATTTTTAAATTTAAATTAGAAACAAGGTTGCTTCACATGTCAATCCCAGGTCCCTCTCCCTTTCCCTCCCCTCCTCCCATGCCCTCCTACCAACCCCCCCAATACCCCCTCATTTCCCTAGGGATCGTGAGGCCCTCCATGGGGTATCCATAGTCTGTCATTTCATCCAGGGCAGGGCCTAGACCTTCCCCCAAGAGTCCAGGGTGAGAGTGCATCTCTCATTGTGGGATGGCCACCCAAAGTCCATTTGTATACCCGAGATAAATACTGATCTACCCAAGGCCCAATAGATTACCTAGGCCTCCTCACTGACACCCACATTCAGGGTATCTTGATCAGTCCCATGCTGGATTCCCAGCCATCAGTCTCTAGGGTTCAAGAGCTAACCCTTGTCAGGTCAGCTGTTTCTGGGGGTTAAACCAGTCCAGTCTTAACCCCTTTGCTCATCAGTCCTCCTTCTCTGTCACTGGATTCCTTGAGTTCAGCTCAGTGTTTAGCTGTGGGAGTCTGCCTCTGCTTCCATCAGCCATTGAATGAAGGTTCTGTTTCCCAGACTCTCTGGCCGTGGGATTGTAGGCTGGTACTCCCCAGACCTGGTTTTTCTAAGTATTGACTTTCCATAATTTAACTTGACTCCATGCAAGTCAGCAGTAAAAACTAAATAGTCACACAATTAGTTTTTAGTCTCTTAATAGGTAATGCATGCCTTGCATAGAGCAAGTGTATAAAATCCCTTTTAAATTGTAAATGACAATAGGGGGCTATTATTTAGAAAGTATCTTTCTTTGCTGAAAATAAGAAAAGGCCTCAAGTTTTGGAATGCCTGAAGTCCCCTAGAAACAGCTTTGTGAAGCTAAACTTCGGAGCCCTGAAGCCGACCACTGGCCTAAACAGGAGAATCATACGGGGGGGGCATTTGCCCCCTCACTACATTTTTGCTTGTATCTCATGTTACTCATGAGATGGTTTACATATGAGAAGAAGCTGACATAGATGAATTTACAGAGCCATCATGGAAAACGAAAGGATTGGGTCAGGGCATGAATCACGCAATTAGTTTTTACTGCTGACTTTATTTTTCTTTCCAAAACAGAATTGCATTGACAAAATTGAAACCACAATTAGTGTTAAGCTCCAGCTCATTGGAATCGTTGGGATTGGGATTGCGGGTCTCACGGTAAGAAAGCTCTAAAATGTAATTGTTTTTGCTGTCTTAGAAGCATTAGAACCTTACATTTTTACGTTGGAGGTACAGTATCTTAAATGGGGATTCTTGAAATGGGTAAAAACCCTTGTTCACAGCACTACCCACAATGGGCTGGGCCCTCCTCATCAATCTCTAATTAAGAAAATTCCCCCACAAGATCTTATGGGTGCATTTTCTCAGTTGAGGTTCCTTCTTTTCAGGTAACTCTTGTTTGTGTCAAGTTGACATAAAACTAGCCAGCACAAGCAGTTTGAAAACATCCCACATACTGGAGGCATCAAGTAGACAGTCCTAACAATGACGAAGTCTCAACAGAAGCAGACAGCCCTGACTCATGACCCCCCACATGCTGGGATCTTTCATAGGGCACCCTTCAGACTATACCCAGGATGAGGTGGAGGTCATATCCAAACTTGTAGCCATGAAAAAAGGGATGCCTTTGCTTATCTGCCTGGAATCAGCAGGAGTTTCTTCCTGAGTTGTTCTTCTATCCGGAAGGACTGCACAGTATAATCACTTAGACAAATGCCCATTAGATGTCCCCTGGCCACACACTGGCTTGGGTCCTGTCAGCCACAGACCTGAACTCTTTGCTGTGTGTGCCCTTAGCTCTGTCTGCCTTTGGCTTCCCATTACTCCTTCCTTGATGCATTGAACATTCACAGATCCTAGTTGTCTTAGGATGGGATTGAGGAGAGAATCAGGGTCATGGCACCAAATTTTAAAAATGAATATTACCAGTCATTTAGAGGCACCCACAGACAGGGTTCCTCTGGCTGTGGACTTGTAGGAGTAATGACTGAAGACAAAAAGGACCTTTTGGTATTCTTTTCTTCCAACCAGAGGGAAAATAGTTCTGTCCAGGTATTTGGCTTCTTAGAGAACTATCCAAGAGACAGACGTCAGGAATATTATAGTTCAATAACTTCCATTATGTTTTGGTAGAACTACTGAGTTAAACAGTCATTTATCGTTGGGTAGAAATAGACCAAGAATGAAGAGAAGCCCCACTGTTTAACAAGATTTCACTGCTGTAGGAACTAAAGCTTTTCTGAGTTAGACCATAAGTCCATTTACCTAAGAAATTAAGAACATGTTTTTATGAATGAATAAAATAAATCTGAGATTCATCTAAAATATAAAATTCAAAAACCAGAAATGTATCAATCTTTCATAACTGTTAAGAACTATAAGCCAGAAACAGAGCCCTTACTTCAAACAGACTTATCTGTTGAGATAACCACAATTCAGCAAG